CCTTCCTTCCTTCCTTCCTTCCTTCCTTCCTTCCTTCCTTCCTTCCTTCCTTCTCTCCTTCCCCTACTCCCTCACTACCTGCTCCTCTCCGGAACATGGCATGGGTGTCAGGGAGAAGGCTGGGTACAGAGGGGCACAGGAATGGCTCAGCCTCAGCACATACCCACTACCGTCACACACTGCTAGTGTTCTGGGGCCTCCTAGACCAATGACCTTGGGTCAGCTGGAAGAGGGGTAGGGCTTTTTGTTTGGGGTCAAGACCAGGCCAAGGGGATGTGCCGCCAACCACAGCTCTGGCTCCAAGAATCTTGGATCTTTTTCCTTAGAAAAGTGCAGGATGTGGTTCTTGCCAGCTCCCCTTGAAGGTGGCGACGAAGAGTTGAGCCCTGAGCTATCTATCCCCACTGGATCGGCAACAGCTCTGCGTGTGGTGAGGCTATTCTCCTTCACGAGGAGGGATGGGCCTGGGCTGTGGGCTTGCCTTCTTTGGGAGCCTCTTGCTGTCCAGAAAGCAACCCTGATTATGCTGGTTCTGGGGGCAGCCAGGATTCCCAGCCCCAGGGCCTGGCTCCCCGCCCAGAGCAATTCCCTAGCTAGTGGCCTGCCAGGAAGAAGATTCCTTATCAGCCCTGTGGGGGAGTGGGGGGCTTCCTGGACAGAGTTCTTGAGGTAAGGGCTGGCTGGGAGGCCCCTGCTTCAAGCTTGAACCTCCAATACTGCCCATGGAGAGCTTAGGTCACTCATCTCTCCCCTCTGAGCATCATTTTCAAAATTAGGCATGGTGTAAGGAGGTCTCCAGCTCTGGGGTCTGGGGCCCCAGATTCAGGGCCAGAGTTACTGTTGGGGAGGGGAGAGGCTGCAGAAGGGCCAGACCCCAAACTCAACAGTGTCCTCAAGACCTCTGTCCTCAGTGTTGTCAGGACCCCTCCCCCAGGGATGGGTCTCAACCTCTGAGACAAGTACCATTATCATCACTCCCTCTACAGATGAGGAAGCAGGCTCAGAGAGGCGAGGCCACGCTCCTGATCCCCACTGCCAATAAGTGGCAGACCCGGGGATGTCTGAGGATGTCTGCTGGGACTTCAGGCCCCATGGCAATGTGTGACCAAGGTGGTCCTTGCTTTGTTTGGGCATCTTTCTCTCCATCTGCTGGTCACGAATCTGGGTGCCGAGGGATCAGGAGGTATGGCCAAGGCAGCCAGAAAGAAAGAGGGGAAGGTGGTGAGGGGAGGTACCAGCCTAAAGCTGAAGCTGGTTGGGCACAGTGCAGGCTCAGCACAGGGACAGGTGGTAGCAGGTGGTGCACTATGGCAGGGCAGGCAGGCTCAGCAAGTGTCAGGCAGCGGGAACTAAAGTGCTCTCTGCTTCTCCCCATAGGCCCCAGGGACCGAGTTGCCCACCTAGGGGTAGTGTGCGGGTGATGTTGTGTGGGGCTGCGGATGGTCTCTGACTTTGAGGGTGTTCTAGTCTGAGCCCACCCTAGCTTCCCCCCAGGGTCTGGCCAGATCCTCCAGCTCTGTCCTGACAGGTTCTGGGGGTGGGTTGGGGGAAGTGATAGATTTATCTCTGCTCCTATGTGACTGGTGGCTGGTGGTTTCCGGCCAACAGCTTCTGTTTCCGGAGGCCCAGCAGGGCCCAGGCGGAGCCATGAGGGGCTGTGGGGCTGGGCCTGGGTGGCCCCATCAGCCCCGCCTCTGTCTATCTTTGGGAATTTATTTGTCACGGGCACTGCTGGCCTGCAGTCCATTGCCTGCCAGGGACCCAGAATTGTTCTGAGCACCCAAGGATTCTCCCTCTCACCCCATGCATCTCTCCAGCTGACCTCTGACTCCTGACCTCTGGCCTCACCTACCCTACTCTGCTCTCCCTAAGAGGGTGAGAAGCCCTCAGGAGCCCTGCCGCTGTAGACGTGGGTGTCCTGACAGCAAAGGTGTGCAGGGGGCTCAGTCCTGAACCCCAACCTGGCCCACCATGGCACGGAGGCTGCAGGATAAGCTGGCTGCCTTTTTCTTCGAGTATGACACCCCCCGAATGGTGCTGGTGCGCAACAAGAAGGTGGGCATTGTCTTCCGGCTGATCCAGCTTGTGGTTTTTATCTACGTCGTTGGGTGAGTCTGGGACCCCTCACCACCACCTTCACGCAAAAGCCCCCAGCCTGGCTCTGTCCTCCCAGATCTGGGATGCTCTCCTTGATGCCAAGGAGCCCTCTTTCTCTCTATCCATCTGGAAGCCCTCCTGGTCAGCCGCTTTGCCGTTTAGACAGAGGGAAAGCGTTGCTAACTCACTGTCGGGATGGGGATGCTGGGGCAGGAGGGGGTCACCCTGCCTGGGGCACATGGAGGTTCTGAGGAACTGACTCGGATTTGAGTTCCTTCAAGTGGTGAGTGGCTTTCACGGCCAGGGCTCCTTCTACCTCTGACCTCCCACCAAACCAGACACTACTACTGAGACGGAGGCCATATCCTCTTTCACAGGCCAGAGATGGACAGGCTCTGCTCCCACCTTCCCTGTCTAAAATAGGGTTATCCTAAGATATCTGAGACCCTGGGAGCAGAGAAACCCTCAAATTCTGAACACCTGGTATCTGAATGGTGGAGGTCAGCTCTGCTCCCAGGGATGACAGCTCCTTTCTGGGCATCTCTGGACTTGTCCTACTGAGCCAAGGGTACAGGGTGGGGCCAGGTGGGATTCCCTCTGTCATCTGACTTGGCTGGGGACCACGCAGAGGCCATTTTCCTAAAGTCAGTCTGGCTGTCCTAGAAGCTAAGACAGGTCTGGCAGGAGCTTGCACATGTGTGCCGCAGGGGCACATATGCCTGTGTCATGTAGATGCACGTGTCCTACCCAGAGCTCTGTGTCTATGTCCATGTTCCAGGTATCTGGGTGTGTGCCCATGTGTATGTGCCCTGGCTGTGTCTGAGTCTGACTGATGCTTGTCCCCTGTGTATGGTATATCATATCTACTCACATGACTGCAGGGGGTTCCTAGAGCCCCTGGAATCCTGAAGGAGGTTCACCTCCTACTGGGCATCTGGGGACCCAGTAGCCCCAGCCCAACTGTGCTGTGTGATTCTGAGGGATCTATCCATCCTTCATTTTTGTTGTGGCTCTAAACTGCCAAGTGGGGCCCAGGGTGGGCTGACCGGGGGTCCAAACAGTGGTCACATAGTCCTGGTCTCCCCAAAACTTTGGGCATCCCAAATAGTCTCAGACCTGATCAGATGGGGCTGAAGCCAGGACCCCCTGGTGTCTTTTGGCCTCTGCCTCCCTCTTGTTCATAAACCAATTTGACATCTTCAATATTGGTTGAGCGTGAAAGGGAAAGTGAGGACCAGAGAAGAGCCGAGGGGTTTCCAGGTCACACTACAAGTCAGTAGCAAGGCCAGGCTTAGGACTTAGACCTCCTGCCCCAACCCCGGTTTTTGCTTGCCCTTCTTTCCCAGCATCACAAGGCCGCTGCAGAATTTTCTAATGGGTACTGATGGCAGAGCACCAGGCACGGACAGATCTACAACCCACTGTCAGCTTCACTCCTGACCCTCCAGGGAAGAGAAACCACTCCCCAAAGTCCAGCCTGACACTCACCAGAAAAGGCTGGGGGAGGGTCACCCTCACTCTGGCCCGAGGGCTCCCCATTCTGTTTTCAGATCAGGCCCAGTAAGCAGCATCAGGTTCCTCTTGTGGGTTAGGCATAGATTGTCAGAGTTTGAGGGACAGTGTATGTACCCACTGCAGGGTGTGCCTCAGCTGCCATCCAAGCTTGAACAGATACTTTCAGTGATGAGGATCTCACTACTTCCTTCCTTTGCTATCTTCCCTCTCAGGACAGTCTACTCAGTTTTCAAATAAATATGGTCCTTCTCAGTGTCCGTGGGGCTCACCAGCACAGGGATCTAGCTGGCCCTCAGCTAGAAAGAGGCTAACCAGGATCTGAACCAGGTGCATGGCTCCAAAGACAGTTAAATATCCTGAAAAGGAAGCACCTGCAGAGAGGGGCACTCCATTCCTGCCTTGCCCCCAAGACCGAGCCTCAGCTCTGCTTCGCTTGGGCTGCGGCTCCTGCTGTCTCTGTCGCCCTCATCTGGCCACCTCCCAGTGCTGCACTGACCCTCGCATCCAGGAGGTCCTATCTGCAGACTGAAGCCCTGATGCAGCCTAGACTTAGCTTGGCATTTCAGGCCTCAGTTTCCCAACTGTCCCAAGGGCAGGAGCTGGAGGGGACAACTGTCTCTTAACGAGGATGATGAGCTTTGGCTTGAGCACCCTCCCTTTCTGAGTATGTAGTCCCTGGAGCACTGCAGGACAGACGGAGGGAACATGGGAGGAGACTCAGATCCTTAGGTCCCAGAGGTGACAAAGCATGGGTGGGGGGTGGGTAGGCACAGCAGAGCTGAACAGGGGACAAACATTGGAGCACAACTCAGATGAAGGAGACCCTGAACCTTAGGGATAGAGTTACTGAGGCAGAGGCAGAGAAGCTGAGCAGCTGAGAACTGGAACAGGTCCACAGGTCTCCACTGGGCATGCTCTTCTGGGAGGTCCAAGAAGGTGGAGGGGACCAGTGGGCTTCAGGGTCTGGAAGACTGGGCCTCTTTTGGCTCACAGTAAGGTGGTCTCACAGATACTGCTGTTTTCTGTCACTGGAGGTATATGATATCGTGACTATGCAGGTATGTCCTAGGGGCATGCTGGGACATGTTCCTGTCTAGGGAGGTCTGGCTGGAGGAGGAGAAGGATGCTGGAGGGTCCTCAAGAGAATCTGCAAGTGCCTGTTGGGGAGGGGTTCCTAGGAGGCCTCCCTGGAGAAGATAACCCAGTGGTGAACCCAGCCATTAACAAAAGGCCTGCGGTTGTAGGCTGGGCAGAGTTGCTCTTGGCTCTCTTTCTGGTCCCTCTGAACCTCTTCTCACTACAGTCCTCACTTGTCCCTTGTACCTCTATGCAGAGCTCTTAAAAATCAAGTGGTCAGCCGAGCATGGTGGGGCACACCTGTAATCCCAATGGCTTGGGAGCTTGAGGCAGGAGGATCATGAGTTCAAAGCCAGCCTCAGCAACTTAGCGAGGCCCTAAGCCACTTAGTGAGACCCTGTCTCAAATAAAAATTTTAAAAGGGTGGGGATGTGGCTCAGTGGTTAAGCACACCTAGGTTCCATCCCTAGCATCATTCATAAAAACAAAACAAAACAGAAAACAGGTGTTTAGAAATCACAAAGTGGATAACAGAGTGTACAAAACAGAGAGAAGGACAGATACAAATTATGGTCACAAGTAGTCACACAGAGACTATTTCTGAAGTATCTTCTCCATGCTGAGTGCTTTGGCAGGGGCCTGGGGCAGGACACAGTGGGGCAGAGGGAGAGGGAGGAGCTGAGGATAGGTTAGCCAGAACTACTTTAGTTCCCACAAAATAAACTCAGTCAAACTGGTTTAGAAGACACGATGGCTTGGGGTTTTTTTTGGGGGGTGGAGGTACTGGGGATTGAACTCAAGGACACTCGACCACTGAGCCACATCCCCATCCCTATTTTGTATTTTATTTAGAGACAGGGTCTTACTTATCACCTCGCTTTTTGCTGAGGCTGGCCTTGAATCTGTGATCCTCCTGTCTCAGCCTCCCGAGCCACTGGGATTACAGGTGTGCACCACCATGACTGGCAAGGGTGGGGTATTGATTGATTTATATAATTGAAAGATCATTTGGGACTTCAGGCCTGGATGGACCCTTCATGACAAGGACATAGAGGGGCAAGTTCTATGGGGGAAGTGAGGAATCCAGTTTGGTCCAATTTTAGTTCTCAAATGATGCTATCCAGGATCTGGCTCTGCTCTCCTCTGAGGAGGCACCATGCTCAGGCACCATGGAGGCATCAGGCAGACTCTCTGTCCTCATGGTGGCAAAATGGCAGATCCACACTGACATCCCCACAGGTTAGCTACTCCCAAGGTGCAAGAGCATCTCCTTCCTTCAGGGTTCGGGCAAAAGTCCAAGTCCAATTCTTTTTTTTTTTTTTTAATTTTTTTAATATTTATTTATTTATTGGCGGACACAACATCTTTGTTTGCATGTGGTGCTGAGGATCGAACCCGGGCCGCATGCATGCCAGGCGAGCGCGCTACCACTTGAGCCACATCCCCAGCCCCCAAGTCCAATTCTTATGGGGGAGGGGGTTGGGTCATGTGCCCCTCCCAGAACTGATCATTGTGATCAAGAAAATGGAATGTCCTGATTGGAGGGGCCTGGTTGTGTGCCCACACCTGGTCCAGGCTCTTCTGTGGGGTAAAGAGTTCAGGTTGCACCAGTTGAATTATTTATTTATTTATTTGTTTTTGGTCTCGAGGATACTTAACCACTGAGCTAAGTCTCCCCGGTAGACAGGGTCTTGCTAAATCACTGAGGCTGGCTTCAAATTCTCGATCCTTCTGCCTCAGCCTCTCAAGTCGCTGGGATTTCAGGCATGAGCCACTGTGCATAGCTGGGTCAATTGAATTTTTGTAGTTAGTACTTTGTAGTTAGTACTTTGCATTTGGATTGATTTCATATACCATAATATTCCCCTTTAAATTAATTAATTAATTTTAGGTGCTGGGAATCGAACCCAGGTCCTTGCATGTACTAAGCACACGATCCACCACTGAGCTACATCCTCGCTTTATCCCTTTAAGAAATACAATTCTGTGGTTTTAAATATTCATGAAGTTGTTTCACCAGCACCACTATAATTTCTCTAACATTTCATTCCTCCAAAGAGAAATCCTGTACCCCTTTATTAATCACCCCCCTTTTTCCCTTTCTCACAGCCTGCTTTGCCTATTCTGGGCATTTTGTATAAATAGAATCATGACACATGCCCTTTTACGTCTGGTTTCTTTCTCTTACCATAATATTTTCAAGGTTCATCCACATTGTGCCTCTGCTGCATTCCTTTTTATGGCTAAATAATATTCCATTGGAGATATCACGTTTTGTTTAACCACTCATCTGGGGACAGATATTTGGATTCTTTCAATTTCTTGGCTCTTATGAAAAATGCTGTCCTAAATATTTGTGTATTAGTGTTAACATGGATTTTTTTTTGGGGGGGTACTGGGGATTGAACCCAGGGACACTTTACCACTGAACCAAACCCCCAGCCCTTTTATCTTTTATTTTGAGACAGGTCTCACTAAGTTACTGAGGCTAGCCTCAAACTTATGATCCTCCTATCTCAGCCTCTCCTGTCTATGGGATTACAGGCGTGAGCCCCTGTGCCAGGCTGGACATATGTTTTTATTTCTCCTGGATAGGTACCTACTAGTGGGATTGTGTCAATAGAATCAGTGTGTAACTTTTAGAGTCACTGAAGGACTATTTTGCAAAGGGTCCAGTTGCATGTGAGGTACCTGTGAGATGTCTGGGGAGGGGAATCACCAAGTGACTGCAGCCTTGACTTGTACATAGGCTTCTTGAGTATACGATTTTTATTTTGTTCATTTGCCTATTTTTGCCTAGACAGTGCTTGGCGCACGATATGGACTCTAAACATAAATGTTTGTTGAACAAATAAATGGATGTGCAGAACTGAACCTTGGGAAGAGCACAGATCTGGAGACAGAAATCTGGGGACAACAAAATTCCAGATGTCACGTGTCTTTGACAGCTCACACAGGGCTCTCCCACAACTGAGAATGGAAGCCAGGGAAAGGGTGTGGCTGGACAGGGAAAGGAAACAAGTGAAGGAGGACCAGAGACAGTGGCAATAAGAGATTTTCGGGTTTTTTTAAAAATATTTTATTAGTTGTTAACAGATATTAATTTACTTATATGTGGTGCTGAGGATCAAACCCAGTGCCTCACATGCTAGGCAAGCACCCTACCACTAAGCTACACTCCCAGTCCGAGATTTTAGTTTTAATGATTTCTGCTGTGCCAGACTCTGAGCTCATTTCCTTAATGAGAACTCACAGAAACTTCCCCCAATTACCTACATGCCTTTACTTCAGGGGCCCACCCCAGGGCTGAGTACATGGCTTCGATAAATATTTGTTGAATGAACAGCATCTTTGAGGTAGTGCCGTCACCTCTGCTTTATGGAGAAAATCAGGGCTCAGAGAAGTTTAGTCTATAGGCTGAAGCAACACAGCTGATAAAAGGCAGGGTTTTTATGGGAACCTGAGTCAATCACCATTTCCTCTTCTACCAGAAGAGAAGCTGGAGAAGAGAGCCCCAAGAGAGGTGGAAAAATTGGGAAAGATTATTTCTGGAAGGGGAGGAACTTCTGAAGGTGCCAGTGTCTTTGGTTTCAGACCCCCTTGGTGGCCTTCTCAGGGTGGTGACCACAGGCCAGGTCAAGGCATGGCTGTGGAGGGGCAGGCCTGGCGCCATGGTCATTCTATTATTACCAGAACTGAGGTCGTTAATGCCAGAGTTGACTTTTCCTTTTGACCCCCAAGACCAGCAGCCCCAGGGGCAGACAGAGGAAACTCTGCTTTCGTTGCAGCTTGCAACCTGGCCCGCCTCCTGGGAATCGCGTTGGCGCCAGTGTGGCTCAGTGGAGGGGAGCAGAGCCTGGGAGCCACCTCCTGCCTGGCCTCAGTTTCCCCATCTACCATGTGGGGAGCTGGTATTGGGCAAAAAGAGAAATACCGTTGGGATGTTGGGATGTGGCGCCCAGAGGGAAGCCAGTGACTTTTCTGCAGGAGGGTTTAGAATAGGGAGCAGCTCCCCCATCCTCTACAACAGCTCCTTCAAGTTTGGGTGCAGAGCCAGAGGCCTTCCTAGGGGAAGGCTCAAAGGAGGGTGGGTGAGTGACGTCCCTTCTTCCTGATGCTGCTGGAGGCAGTGTTCCGGCTCAGGACGTTATTGGAGGGCCTTTGTCATGCCTCACCTGATGCAGTCTGAGACCTGCAGGGGGCAGCAGTGACCATGCTTAGACTTGGCCAGGAGTGGGGGATGTCGGGGAGAAGCTTGGTGCTGATGCAGGCTGGAAGAGGGATTTGGAGAAGGAAGGATGCACTGTGTGGGGACAGGAGGGACCTTGGTGAGCTGCCTCACTGGAACTGAGAGCCCTGGAGGTTCTGTGACCAGGCTTGAGCTCTGGGGAACAGGATGGGCTTGTAGAGGGCCTGAGCTTGCTTGACAGAGGTGAGCTTGACAGGTGAGGGACGGAGGAGACATAACACATCTACCTCCAGGTAGACTCAGGTTTTCCTGGAAGTACACAGCTACATACTCTAACGGGTCTCTCTCAGATGCACGCACACATCCACACAGTACCCTCACTCCTGGAGAGAAGCATCATCCAGAAACCAAACTCAACCTGGTTTACATAAAGGCAGGGAACTGATCAGCTTATGCAACTGAACAGACCTTCAGTAGATTTTTCCCAAGTGTGCTTCAGGCCTGCTGGATCCAAGTCTAAAACAACATTGCCAGGAATCTGTCCCTCTCCAATTCCCGTCTCAGCCTTCCTCAAAGGTGGCTTCATTTTCAAGGTTGCTCTTTCTTTGAAGCAGCCAAGATGACTTTGAGGTTTTGATCTTGCTTCCACCCTGCTTAGTCACCGGGCAGAGAGGGTATTTCTTTCCCAATAATTCTCCCCCTGAATCCTGGCTTCATTGCTGATACTCCCCTGGGCACATGCCATCCATCACTGCTGCCAGGGAGATGAAATATTGATTGGTGAGTGTTGGTCATGTGCCCACCCCTGGGGCTTGGAGGGAGGTCAGTCTCACCCAACCTCTCAGACTAAGAGTGTCAGCCCAAAGGGACAGTGGTTCTCAACTTTGGGATTGGAAGGCCAGAACCTCCTCCCAAAAAACTGGGAGACCTCCAGCCTGAGCCACAAGGGCGAGGCTAGGGGGCTGAATTCTTTAAGCCCTTCAGAGGGTCACCTCCCCATACACTTCCCCCTCCAGGGGATCCCAGCCTGGCTGAGATGATTATGATGATGATGATGACGACGTCGATGATGATGATGATAACAAATATTAATAATAATGTCTATATAGCTTTTATTCTGTAGCAGTCCCCAGTGTTTTTCATGCTTGACTCATCTAACACAAATTACAAGCACTATTATTATTCCCGTTTTGCAGAGGAGGAAGGGGAGGCACAGGAGGACTGGATAGCTTCCCCAAATCACACAGCCAATGAGGAGTGGAGCTGGGGTTCAAATCCAGGCCACTGGACACCAGTGGGCAGACTCAGAGCCATCAGGCTGTGTCAGGCACAGCACAGGAAAGGAGGGGCATTCTGGGACAGAGGATTGGAGGTCCCAAGGGGTGGCCCACAGGCACACCCTGCTCCTGGAATCTGGAAGGCCTCCTCCCTGGGATGCTCTGAAAAGATGGTGGAACTTCAGGCTCAGGCCAGCAGGGGATGGCAGGTGGGCTGTTCTGCCTCCGGTCCAAGAGCTTCTGAAGCAGAGAGTGGCTCAGAGAGGCATCTGGGGAGGGCAAACAGAAAGCCATGACACATCCAGCAGGTGCCAGAAAGGAGAGAAGCCCACAGAGCCGCCTGCCATCCTTGAATGGCCCATTCAGCTCTGGTCCAGGACCATAAGTCCCCTGTGTCCCTGCAGGTGGGTATTTGTGTACGAGAAGGGCTACCAGACCTCAGGGGGCCTCATCAGCAGTGTGTCTGTGAAGCTCAAAGGCCTGGCCGTGACTGAGCTCCAGAGCAAACTCCAGGTCTGGGACCAGGCCGACTACGTCTTCCCAGCACAGGTGAGCCACCTCGGGGTCGCACCTTCCACCCTCAGGGCCTGACTTGGTGGGCTCTGTCCCTCTCATGGAACCAGCCCAGCTCCTTCCTCTCCCTAGGCCTCAGTTTCCTGAACTGAGAGCCCGGTACTATCACCCCATGTGACATAATGGGGCGTGGAGGCTGCTGGGCTCCGGGGGCATGCAGGGGCCGTGTTTGGGTTCTAGGAGCTGTTGTGCCAGATCCCAGCCCTGTTCTTCACTTCCAGGGGGACAACTCCTTCGTGGTCATGACCAATTTCATCATGACCCCCCAGCAGGCTCAAAACTACTGCGCAGAGGTGAGGATTTCTGCTTGCCCCCTTCTTGGATCCCCCACAAAGGAAAATAACATGGAAGAGGAGTCCCCTTGGGCACTGGAGATGACATGGGACAGACTTCCTGCAGTCACCCAATGGTAGAATGTCAGGCATAGATAGAGTAAAGTAGCCATCCACCATTGGCAGTGCCAAGCCTTCCACCTGGCTGTGTGCCCAGCAGGATGCCATGTCTGAGTACCACCTCCTTTCCCCCACACCCTCTCCACCCCTTGTCAGCTCACATCAGTGATATGCAGCTGGGCATGGACCCGGAGTGGTGGGGACTTGCAGAAAGAGGCTGTGAGCAGGGGTCACCCCCAAGATTCTGAGAGTTCACCCAAAGGCCCCAGGGATGGGAGGGGCTCTTCTCAGGACCATACCCAGAGGCCTGGGCCCAGCAGCTTTCTCTTCTTCCAGAACCCCGAAGGGGGCACATGTAAGAACAATAGTGGCTGTACCCCTGGGAAGGCAAAGAGGAAGGCCCAAGGTAAGCTCAGCCTCCTCTTGGTGCCTCTGTGGGCCCCTCTCCAGGGCCTGTGCCCTCCAGCCCTCTTCTCTCCACACCCTGCCCAAGTCTTGCTCTCTCTCTCCTGTCATCCTGGCCTGGCTGCCTGCCCCAGACCCAGCCCTATTTCTGTCCTCATAGTCCTCTTTGTCAGTGTCCCATCACAGGGAGCTCCCGTGGGAGGGACCTGAGAGGCCTCCTCTACACCCGTAGCTTGGAGTGGGCACCCAGGGGCTCCTCCCTCACCCTAGGCATCCGCACGGGCAAGTGTGTGGCCTTCAACAGCACTGTGCAGACGTGTGAGATCTTTGGCTGGTGCCCCGTGGAGGTGGATGACAACATCCCAAGGTAACCAATGCCCTGTCTTTCCAGGGACTGGGGGGCAGGGTTCTAGCCCAGATGCAGGGACAACTCGTCTGGAATGGATCTGGTCAGGATTCTTTTGACCTTGTCCTGACCACATCCGTGTGACTTGGGCCAAAGCCCCCCCTCCCAGCCCCTCCCCACCTATGCCAGGCTGTGGGAGCATCTGGGTGTCCTCTGTCCCCAGCCCTGGGGTCATGTGGGGCCCTCCTGGGGAGGGGCGGTGTGTGAGTGCAGTCTCCCCCAGCCCTGCCCTTCTCCGAGAGGCCGAGAACTTCACCCTCTTCATCAAGAACAGCATCAGCTTTCCACGCTTCCAGGTCAAGAGGTGCGTGGGAACCGTGGGCAGTGCTCACGTGGCTCCTCGGGCTCTTGGGATGCTTTCAGCTGTCCGCCTCCATTGAGGCTGCTGTGGTTCTAGAGGGGGAAGCCTGGGTTGGGGTTCCTGGGATAGGTAGCAGAAGGGGCATTCTGAAGCCCTATGAGGGTCCCCAGAGCTACAGGGCAGGGTGGCCACCTTCCCATATGGCACATGGCTCCTACCAATGCCCTTTGCCTCCATAGGAACAACCTAGTGGAGGAGGTCAATGCCAGCTACATGAAGACTTGCCTCTACGACAAGAAGCTGCATCCTCTGTGCCCTTTATTCAACCTCAGCTACATAGTGCAGGAGTCTGGCCAGGATTTCAGTAGCCTGGCTGTCAAGGTATGGCAGGGGGTGCCAGGCAGAGGGGAGCACTGGCTCAGGGCAGAGTAAAGGTTTTTCAGGGTCAGTTCATCTTCCTAATCCTCCCTGGTATAGGCCCAGTATATGTATGAGTCTGTCCCCTAATACTGGGCCCCTGCTGATCAAGCCTGTGCCCTACCTCAGCAGGGCTTGGCCTAGACACAGCTCAGAAGAGGTGCCCAGAATAAAGAGATGTGGGCAGACATCACCTGGATGTTTGCTGATGTCCTGCTATTATTTTATTCTGCAGGGTACAGGGAATGGTTCCCAGTGCCTTGTGCATGCTAGGCAAGCACTCTAAAAGAGCCATACCCGCAGGGTCCTGCTATTTTTAAATTTTTAGGTAAAAGTGGAATGAATTCCATAGCCCTTGGCTCTAAGAAATCTTGTGTCCCGTGATACTCACAGTCCCCTGGTATTCTGAAAGAAGCAGTCTCTTATAATAGACATGGACCTGGGAGACTGGGTTCAAATCCCAGCTTTGCTCCTTAGTAGGTGGTGTGATCTCCAATGAGTCTCTTAACTTCAGTGAGCCTGGGTTTAGCACCTGTCACATGAGGACTCTAATAGTGCCAGTCTCCTGTGGTTGTCTCCAGTGCAAACCTGGGCCAGCCCTTCAGCACTGCCTGGCACCTGGCGAGCCTATGTCCTGTTCTCAGGTGCTCCTTAGTATTCCTGCAGTTGCCTATTTAGGGATGGAAATCTGTCCATTTTCTGTGATGTAACCATAGAACCCCACTCATGACATGCTTGACTTCAGCAGAGGTCGGCAAACTTTTTCTTTCAAGAGCCCTTTAGTAAATATTGTCAGTTTTGCAAGCTGCATGGCCTCTGGGTCAGCTAACCAGGTCAGCTACTGTAGGGCAGAAGCACAGCAGATACTACACTAACAATGGGCGTAGTCAGATTCCACCCACAGGCCACTGGAGTTTACAATTTTTTTTTTTTTTTGGCATTGGGGATTGAACTCAGGGGCAGTCAACCACTGAGCAACATCCCCAGCCCTGTTTTGTATTTTATTTAGAGATAGGGTCTCCCAGAGTTCCTTAGCGCCTGGCTGTTGCTGAGGCTGGATTTCAATTCTTGAGCCTTCTGTCTCAGCCTGCCGCTGGGGTTACAGGCATGTGCTGCCGTGCCTGGCTGGAGTTTACATTTAAGCAACACAAATGACCTAAAAACTGAACTTGAGCCAGCACTGAAGTGCTGCCTGTAGTCAATGTCCATGGACCCTCAGGCAGGAGAATCGAAAGTTCAAGTTCAGCTTTTAGCAACTTAGCAAGATCCTGACTCAAGGTTAAAAAAATTAAAAGGGGTGGGGTGTAGCTTAGTAGGGGACAGCCCCTGTACCAAAAGCAAAATAGAATGAAACTCTTCTTTATTCCTAAAAATCTCCCCATTAGAAATTTGTCAGTTGCAGCCTCCTGCCATATTGCTCAGCTGCCTGCCCCCGCTTCTCTGACTCCCTCCTGACTCTCGCCTTGTTGCTCAGCCTATTCCTTGCCTGGCCCAGAGGAGCTTCACTTTCTCAAGTTTTCTCTTTCCACAGATTCACTCTTTAATTCACTTTAATTCATAACTATTTGCTTGCCTCCCATTTCATAATGAGTGCTGGAAACTCAGAAGTCAGTGACAAATGCCCAGGAAGCTCCATCCTCTTGGACCTTATAGTCTTGAAGGAGAGGGGTTAATAATGATCAAAGGAAATAAACAAATGGTTACAATGTGTCAAAGTTTCCAAAAGCCAACCCAAAGAGTACAACAGGAAGGAATGACAATGGACATATTGGTGTGGTGTTCAGGGATGCTCTATCAGGCAAATGAGCAAAGGATGAGCAGAATCCAGCCTTGAGAAAAACTGGAAGCATAGCATATGCAAAAGCCCTAAGGTAGGAAGAACTTGATATATTCTAGAAATGATCAGAAAGCTAGAGTGTGAAATGTGATGAGTAGGAGGTGAAGCTAAAGAGGGTGACAGGACCTTTACCCCAAAGGAACACCCTACTGTCTTCTCTCCAGTCAAAAATGTTTCTTCAGGGGCCGGGGTTGTGGCTCAGTGGTAGAGTACTCGCCTAGCATGTGTGAGACGCTCGGTTCCATCCTCAGCACCACATAAAAATAAATAAATAAAGTTATTGTGTCCATTAACAACTAAAAGAAAAATATTTTTTTAAAAAGTGTTTCTTCATGGAGTAAATGTAGGCATCAGCTCTAAGACAGACAATTTCTTGGTCCTGAAATTCCAGATCTTAAAAACACCTGTGTTCGTTCCTTCACAGGGCGGGGTAGTCGGCATCACCATCGACTGGGACTGTGACCTGGACTGGCACATACGACACTGCAAACCCATCTACGAGTTCCATGGGCTATATGGGGAGAAAAAACTGTCTGAAGGCTTCAACTTCAGGTGCCTGCCAGGACCACATGTTTCCTTAGAGTCCTCCTGGCTTTTCTACTCCCAGAATCCCATGGGGCTGAACAAGGGTTCCCAGAGGGCAGCAGAGGATGGCTCCCATCCTGTGTGGGTAGCCAACCAGGAAGCCAGCAGGGAGCAAGATCTTTTTATAAATATTTTTTGGTTTTAGTTGTCAATGGCTGGAGTTTGCATTTAAGCAACACAAATGACCTTATTTTATTTATTTATATGTGGTGCTGAGGATCGAACCCAGTGCCTCACACACGCTAGGCAAGCACTCTACCACTGAGCCACAACCCCAGCCCAGGGAGAAAGATCTTGAAGGCCTGAGTCCCCTGCCCTTTGGTCTCAGTCCCTTTGAGGCCCACTGGTCAGGAGCACTGGGGAAATCACTGGCAGCAGGAGTTAGGGCAGAGGCTGAGTGTGGCATTGCTAGAATGTGGCTTGTGAGTCTCCCTTGGTGAAATGTTGTGGAGATGGACCTCTGTGGGCTACGGTGTCCCTGAAGCTGTGACACCTAAGACGATTTTCCATCACCTTCTCTTGCTACCTCGCCCCCTCCCCAAGGTTTGCCAGGCACTATGTAGAGAATGGGACCAACCGCCGTCACCTCTTCAAGGTGTTTGGGATTCGCTTTGACATCCTAGTAGATGGCAAGGTGAGTGTCCTGTATAGGGGATGGCCACTGAGACACATCTTGCCTTTGGGTATCTGTAGTTATGGATGACAGGAAGTTGGACAGGACAGGGTCTGTTCAGCACGTCTACTTCTAATGACAGGTGGGGCATGGGTGGTGTCCAGGCAGACAGTGACCATGCCTCCCTCATAATGTCCCTGGGTTCAGGGGGGCAGAATGTAGGGCAAACACAGGACTGAGGGCTGGCAATGTAGCTCAGAAGTAGAGTGCTTGCCCTGCGTGTGTGAGGCCCTGGGTTCCATTCACAGCACCAGAAACAATGAAACAAAACCAAAAAAATCTTGGGTCTACTGACCAGCAGCTGGTTCCCCATGAAGAATCAGATCCCTGGGCACCAGGCAGAGTGGACAGGTCATGATTGAGAAGAGAGGGCCGGAAGCCCCTTGTCCCAAGCCTGGCCTTTTCCAGCTGAGTGCCTTCTGACAGTTAACCCTTCTTTTCCCTGGGCCCTACCACCAGGCCAGGAAGTTTGACATCATCCCTACAATGACCACCATTGGCTCTGGGATTGGCATCTTCGGGGTGGTAAGTGTTGGGATCACTGGATCACTGTGCTGGGGTCGCCCCCACTCCCTTCTGTATCTCAGTAGCAGTAGAAAGTCCCTCATCCCCAAACTTGACTGTAATTGTCCATCCTTATTGAGCAAGCTGTCCACCATACCACCCATAGTATGTCTGAGGACACCAAGGCCCAGAGCTGGGGTGGGATAGAGGTGGGATGGGGCTTTCTTGGTTCCCTGAAGGTCCCGAGGTGCCCTACCAGGAAACTGAGGTCTAGAATGCAGGATTCAGCCAGGGCCCATAGTGGCTAGGACAGCAGTGAGATGTGGGAAGTCCTGTACCTTCCTCCAGGTTCTGTATCTGTTTCCTTTGTTCCTTTTGCTACTCCCTGCCCCTAGGCCACCGTACTCTGTGATCTGTTGCTACTTCACATCCTGCCCAAGAGGCACTACTACAAGCAGAAGAAGTTCAAGTATGCTGAGGACATGGGGCCAAAGGCGGTAAGAGAACTCCTTGAATTGGGCCCTTCAGAGACCTCAGGCCTGTGTGTCTGTGCTGGGTGGGGGTTAGGGGGCAGCAACTTCTGGGGCTGACCTGTATCTCCTCAATGCATATATAGGGTGAGCATGACCCAGCAGCCACCAGCTCCACCTTGGGCCTGCAGGAGAACATGAGGACCTCCTGACCCTGAGCCCTTGACTCCTGACTGGATGCAGCACTTGGCCTTGGGCTGGGGCCCTGGTGGGTCCCAGCCAAGGGCAGAAGGGTCTCCCATGCAGTGTCCTACCCTCTTAGCCAAACAGATACCATTTACCAGCAGCTTAGGATAGACCTGTGCAGTTTAGGACTCTGGCTCCAACTCTGTACCCCCCTACCCCAAGAAAGCCCCACTCCAGTCTCAGTCATTCCTGGTCGAAAAAGCCTGGGGATCCTCACACATTGGTACCCCAGCTTTGTGCTTATCTCTTGGGGCCCTCATTGTCCGTCCTTCTGCCTCAATTTCTCTAGATCTGTGTCCTCCAATATGGCAGTCACTAGCCACAGGTGACTATTTAACTTTAAATGAATTAAAATTCAATAAAATAAAAAAAATTCAATTCCTCAATGGAACGAGTCACATTTCCACTGCTTGGTAGACACACGTGGCCAGTGACTGCCATGTTGGACAGTGCTTGTCACTGATGAAAGTTCTGTCAGACAGGTGTGCTCCAGGCCTATTTCTGCCTGGCCTCAGATTTCCCTGGGGAGAATATTGACAATGCAGGTGCCTGGGTCCACCCCAGACTTCCTGAACCGGAAACTCCCATGCTGGCCACAATGATCTGTGTTGGTAGCAAGCATCAAGGACATTTTGGGACCTACATTTAAGAACTGCTGTCTTAGCATTTTTTGACTCCGAGCTCTTGATTGGGACCGGGGTCTGCACCAACTGGCAGGTATGGACACTGAGCAGGGTTTCAGACACCCTCAGCAAGTGTGTAGTGTGTTCACGTGCCACACAGTGATTCACGCACACACCCCCGTGTGCATGCACACCTACCTACATGTACACGGCCCTCATGTACACACCACCCACATGCACACAGCCCTGTGTTTGAACAGCTTGGGGCCCTGCAAACACAACCATCTGACACACCTACACCCTCAAGCAGAGACACATGATCCATGCTGTGTCACCTCCATGGGGAAATGCTTCTTCCCTAGTGTGTCAGGCCAGGACATCCCTTCTAGCCACAAATCCTTACTCAGCTACCTCGGGCTGGAATGGGAGCCTAAGCTGAATCCTGGGCTCCTTGCCCATGGCCAACTCCAGCTCCCACGGCCTCCCTGGCTCTGTCAGAACACAAGGTCTGGGAAAAGTGAGGGGTGGAGTACAATAAAAGGAATGAGGATGAATTTCTGCCGTCTTTGCCTTCTTTCCAGACCTCTCTGAAGTTCAGTGTGCCCATCTGTGGGATGCAAGGCTGTGCTGAGCAATCACGGGAGCCCCTGTGGGTCTGCCAGTGGGTAGTGGTGAGCTGACTCCCATGTCCTGAGCCTAACAGGGTCAGCTCACATCTGTCCATGGGCCAATATCCTGACACAGCCCCAAACCCTGCAACTCTTCCTAACCCACCACAAGCTCCTCCCACGGCTTCTGTGAAAGGCCTAGCACTGGGACAAGTAGAAAACCCTAGGAGTGGCCTCATGAAACGGGGGATGAAGAAGGGGATGGCTACCTAGGGAACCCCAAAGAGGGAGGGAAGGCCTTGACTGTAAACAAAGTGGAAGGATCCCCAGGGGCCTTGCTGTGGATGTGACCTCCAGGTCCTGACTCACAGCCAGGTAGAGTCTCAAAGCATCCACACCATCTTGCTGGGTCTACACCCTGCTATCCAATGGGACTTCCTGCAATGATGGACATATTCTACCATAATGTGTCCACTATGGTAGCCACTGGCCCCAGATAGTCACTGAACACCTAAAATGTGGCCAGTGCAACCCTGGGGGCAGTCTTTACTTTGTTATTATTTTTTCTTGTGATACTGGGGATTAAATCCAGGAGTGCTCTACCACTGAGCTCCATCCCCAGCCCTTTTAAGATATTTTTTAAATTTTTGAGATAGGGTCTCACTGAATTATTGAGGCTGGCCTCAAATTTTCATCCTCCTTCTCAGTCTCCTGAGTTGCTAAGATTATAGGCCAATGCCACCTCATCTGGCTATTTTTAATTCACCTAAATAGCCACACATGGCTAGTGGCTACCAATTTGGACAGCCCCTCCCCTCTCCCTTGGACCCTTGGCCTTCTGCCCTCTTCCCCAGTCAAGAACCATGACGCAGATCTTACAGGACTGGAACTCCAACTTCCACCCTCCCTTTCTTCTCCTCCCTATCTGCTTTTGTACCTCCTGCTCCCTTCCCTCCTGAATGAGCAGAAAAGGGCTCCTCCTCTGCATCCAGCCTTCTACCAGCCCAGAGATCTCCTGGCAAAAGCCGCCTCCTCCCTCTATCATCTCTGGATTTGTTCCCCTCTTCTCCCTCCTCCAGGCCCTCACTCCCTGCAGATCTGCCCACTCTCCCTTTACCACCACCTTCCCAGAAAGACTAGATGGCACTTCCCTCTGCAATTGGCCTCACCCCCACCACTTCTAGATGCCCTTGCCAAGGTTACTAGCAGCATCCTTGTTGCCAAATCCAAGCAGACACTTGGCCTGTCAGCATCTGATGCTATGGCCCAAGTCCTCTTTGTCTAAAGATTCCCTCCACATATCCTTGGATCCACCCTGTCCTGATTTCCCAAGCAGCCTGATGTGCAGGGCTTCAAATGCAGCTCTTCCAGAGCTCACTAGGTGTCCTTGGGCCAGTTGCTTAACTCTCCAAGTCTCTTCTGTAATTCAGGGATAATAATAGGCTCTGCTAGGGTAGGGGTTAGAGACTCTGTGCTAGGCACAGAGCAGGTTCCTGGCTCTGTGCCTAGCACAGAGCCTGGCATAACAGTAGTGCTCTTTCCCTCGATTTATCCACCCATTGGATACTGGAGTCAGTCAGTTGTCCCTGGATATATATTTTTTCCTTACGGTGATACAAATCTGGATTTCTGGTTGGGCATGTGGCCACCATTAGTAGGTGGCATTTCATGTAAGTTGCATTTCCGGTTCTGTCTCTTTGCAACTGGGTCTGGTCATGTGATTAAGTTCAAACTAATGAGGTAGATGGGGAAGTGTCATATGACAACTTCTGGGAAATTTCCTTCAAAGAGAATTGGTGCAGAACCTTTCCGTTCTTCGTCCTTTCTTCCATCTCACTACCTGGAATATGTGTGTGATAGCTGGAGCCCTACTCTGAGCCATGAGGACAAAAGCCACTCTTAGAGATTGCGGAGCAGTGAGTGGAGAAAGCCACACCTGGGAGGGCTTTGTGGAAGTGAGCTGCCTTATCAGCCCGAGACTGTCTTCTCTGAGGCTTATGTGTTTGGATTTGTTACTTAGGTCAGAATTCTGATTCTACCCAGTACAGAATTCTTTCCCCCTTAAAAGCAAGTGATTTGTCCTTCGTGCTTGATTTATTTGTGCTTGTGATATTTTTCCCATGGCTCTATTAACAATTTCGGGTCCTTTCTGAGGACTCTCAAACCTGTCTCTTTGAGGGACCAGAAGTATAGCTCAGTGGTAGTTTGCCTAGCACAAGTGAGATCCTAGGTTTGATCATTCCCAGCATCCATAAAAAATGAAAAAAAAAAAAAAACCCAAAAGGTGTCTCTTTGGCTCAATCCTCTTTCCTGAACTTGTGCCCCATATTTCCATTCCCTAATTGCCGTATCCAATTAGTTGCTCATTCATCAAACTTCTATTGAGCACCCTTGAGTGTTTCAAATTGTGCTGAATTTATTAGGCACAACCCATTCCCTCAAGAAGCTCCCGGTTCAGATAGAGAACAATCAGGCAAACAGGAGGGTACAATAAAGTTCCTAAGAAGGGATGCTACCCAAGCTGGGCAGTGAAGAGGTCATGGGGAAGGTGTCCTGACAGAAGGGGCATTGAACTGAGCAAGCAGCTAGTTAGGAGTGTGGTTATAGAGAGCTTGACTGGAACTATTCTCAGGGTAATGGCCAGCCATGGAAGATTCCTCAGGTGGAGCTGACTGGTTAAACTTGTACTTCTGAATGACTGTTCTGCTGCCAGGTGAAGAAAGGCAAGTGGGGACTGAGTCTGCATGGTGGTGGGAAGCCAGCAAGGTTGATGCTGCAGTAATCAGGTGGAAGACAGTGATAGTGGCCTGAGCCAAAGGAGGGGCAGAAGGGTGGAGAGAAATGGGCAGATTCCAGGGATTATATATTTAAGATTCCGAGCTGATGCTATACTGGTTGGGGCAGGAAACAAGCTGTAAGTGACTGGCAGGTTCCTGGCTCCAGTTTGAGACAGGGAAACAAGAAGCCAGATTTGGGGTAATGATATGGAGTTCTGAGGCAAGTAGTGCTGTGGGGATTCACTAGTGACAAACTTAGCAGCACTGAACCAAGAGTTGGTGAGCTTCCCGGGGAAGAGGTGAGGGGTTGAGTCCCCAGGTACAACCATTGGAAAGGTCACCTGGTCCTGTTGGGTTCCCTCCATTTGGAAAAGGACTCTGCTGTCTGTTTACAAAGTCCTTTTCTAAACAATAATCCCACTTGGACCCTAGCACTCTTTACTAAACTTCCTTCTGGCCTTCCTACCCACCTCCTGCCCATCTAGCAGAAGGCTAAACTCCTGGGGCTGCCATTCAAGGCCTTTCTTCCTCAGCTCAGGCCTTAGCCACCTCTCTGCTCGCCAATCTCGCCTTGCCCCTCCCTAGCACGCACGAAGCCTCACCCCCAAAGGGAGGGGGCGCTCTTGCTCTTGCAGGCCAGGACTGGGGAGAGGGAACAAAGCGTTTTGGGGGAAGCACCCGTACCCTTCAGGCCGGGTTAACTGGTCATGACATGTCCTGAAGGATTTCGGGGGACCCGGGCGGCTTATATGTGGGCGCCGGGGGCGTGACGCGGTTTGGCTCCGCAACAGGGCCCCTCCCCAGCCACCACCCGCCGCGGCCCCTCCCCTTCAGAAGCCGGGCGAGAGTCTTGGACTCTGATTGGGCAGTGTTGGGGGGGGGCCGTATAGCTCGACCAATGAGCGCCGACCGGGCGCGGCGGCAGGCGGGGGACCGAGCGCTGCCTGGAGCCGCGGCGCCGGCGGTCTGAGCTCGGCGATCTCGGCCCCAGCTAGGCGGGCGGGGCGGGACGCGCGCCGCGGGAGCGAGCCTGGCCGCCCGCCGGGCCTCAGAGACTGGTGCCCCGCGGCGGAGGTAGGGGGCGGTGAGAAGGGTACCTGGAGCAGGGAGCCGGAATTCGAACACCTGAAGGATCGTCTGCTCCTAGCCTGCTGGGGAGAGAGGTGTCTGCAAGGCTGTGACTGTGAGGACAGCTGGGACCTTGCCCATTCAGGGATCCTTGCCCTCTATCTGCGGAGCTGGGTCTACGGGGTGTCTCGTGGAGCCTGCTTCTGTCTAAACCCGCAGCCAGGACCGCATCTAGGTGGGCGCCCTGCCATCCTCGTCCCTCCCCCAGTTCTTGTCTTCGGGACTGCGTCCGTAGCCCGCGCACTGTCTACCCTGCCCCGGTTCTTAGTGGAGGCCGTGTCTATGTAGAGTGGGCCCAGACGCGTGCACCCACGTGTGGATCTCCGCGGAGCGCTCCTCCCACGGCCCTCCCGTGAGTCTTCCTTCCACAGCTGGGGGCGGGGGTGATGAATGGGACGGATGCGGCTTTAGCTGCGCAGTCTTCCCCTGATCGGGGGCAGGGAGGCGGGGAGGCGGGGAGGCGGGTGGCGGAGGTTGGCGTTGTGGTTTCTGGGGCCCGGTGGGCACAGGAGTGGTGACTCCGAGGGAGCACACGTGCGCGGGAAGTCGTGTGTGGTGTTTGGAGGCGGGTATGCGTGTGTCACGTGGACACAGGAGTGTGCCTGTGTGTGAGGGGATGCATTTCAGGATGGAGTGGCAGTATGAGGACCAGTCACGCGGACATGGGCGTGCACGTCTTGAGGGTGTTGCAGGAGTGTGCAGAGAGGGTTATGTCACAGGCCACAGATCCTAGGACTGTGCCATGATGGGTTTCCCCAGGGCTGTGCATCTGTCAGGTGGACTCAGAAGTGAGAGAAGTATACATCTTGTGTCCTTGAGGTTCTCCTAGGAAGAGGCACCTGTGTACCCCATAGCCCTGGGCTCCTTCATTCAGCACATGCAGATTGAGCACTGTGTCCTAGGCCCCCACATTTTAGGAACCTTCTGCCTGCTCAGACTCTCACCCTTAGTCCCCACAGCAGCCAGAGTCTTTTTAAACCTCATCCAACTGAGTCATTCCTCTCCTCAAAACCCTTCCTTGGCTTTGGATGCCTGGTGGTGGCTGTCCACAAAGCTCCTCCCCACACCCCTAGCAAGCCCAGAGTCCCAGCCAGGGGAGGGTTTTCTGTTATGTGCTGCATGAATTCCCATTCTCATCCCCTGCTAAAATCCAACTCATTGTCTGGCCAGGTAGTGCACACCTGTACTCTCAGTGGCTGAGGAAGATGAGGCAGTAGGATTCCAAGTTCAAAGCTAGCCTCAGCAACTTAGTGAGGCCCTAAGCAATTTAGGAAGACCCAATCTCCAAAAGGGGGGAGGGGCTGGGTATGTGGCTCAGTGGATAAGTGCTTCTGGGTTCAATCCCTGGTACCCCTCCCCCCAAAAATCCTCATTGACCAAAAAAGAGTTTCAGCATCATCTCCTCAGGAATCCATCGCTGAGGCTAACACAGTGGACTGTGCCTTCTCTCCAGATCTAGCTCCTCATGACATCAGGTACCTATTCACTCCAGCCACATCAGCCTCCTTGCTATTCCTCAAAAAAGCAAGCATTGTCCCATCTCATGGAGTTAGCACTCATTGGTCCCTCTGCATGAAGTGCTCTTCTTGGGTGACCACATTGCTTGCTCCATTACTTCCTCCAGGTGTCTACTCAAGTCCTGCATTGGCAAGGTCTTCCCCCACTGCACTGAATCAGTAGTGTTCCCCAGTCCCTTAGGCTTGATCGCCCTTACTGCTATAGCTTTCTTTACAGCACATGCCACTTGATATAGCGCATATTAGTTACCCAGTTTCTTATTTATTATATCCTGTCCCTCCTAGAAATTAAACTATGTGCAAGCAGGGACTTTTGTCTTTTTGGTTCACTGCTTTATCTCCCTGCACCTAGCATTGTGCCTGGCATATAGCACATGTTCAATGAATAGTTATTGCATGAATGAATGACTGGATTTGCAATCCAGGAACCTGTGTTCCCAGCTGTGCCCCAGCCTGAAGCTCTAGTCTAAAGTTAGGTCTCCTGTTCCTCTGTGCCCCAGATTCCAAGTTCCTGGAAGGCCAGGTCTGAAAGAACTATGGCTGTATTTGCATGTTAGAAATCCTTCCTTTAGCAACTGGTGTGAAGGATGGAAATGGGTTAGAATGGGGATGTGAGCCTGGAGGCAGGGAGACCCATGTGGCAGAAGCAGTGAAAGGACAGTTAGAAAGGAGGTCAGAAACTAGACTTTTTTTTTTTTTAATCTGGACTTTTTAAGGGGTTTAACTTGGTGATCTCACCCAGCCAGCAGTAGGGAGATCAAAAAGTGCTCTCAGAGGAGGCAATATCTGAGCTGTCCTCCAGGCTGCAAAGGAGAGGGAGGTGTGTTCCTGGCAGAAGGCACAGCTTGTACAAAGGGCTGGCAGCAGAACAATCTGCAGTTTGGGAAGCTTCAAGTTGTGGGGTGCAGCAGGAGTGAAGAGTGGGTGTGAGGTAATGGAACAAGGATGAGAATGGGGAGCAGATCCCTGTGGTTCTTGGACTTCTGGCCTGGGTCCAGTAACAACTGGAAGGATGTGGTTCCCACCTCTTCAATAGAGACAGGAGGAAGAGCAGGTTTGGGGGAAGATGCTGAGTTCATTCAGGGCCCTGTTGGAGCTGAGCTGCCCAAGAATGAGGAGTGGGAGGAGGCAGCAATATGGAAAGAGAGGCTAGAGGCACAGACCTGGAGTGGATCGTGAGGAAGGGCAGAGGGAGAAATGAGGCCTGGAGACTGTCAGTCTCCTGGGGCAAGCCAAGGGGATACCCTAGGTTAGTTGTGATGAGACACAGAGCCCATATTGGTAATTGGGAGCTCCCCAGGGGTGGTGGGAGGGCGCATCCTCACAGCAGGCATCCTCAAGCATGACTTGGCACCAGACTTCTGGGCCTCCCTTGAGGGGACTGAGTCATCCCAGGCGGGGTTGGGAACTGCGGAGGGCACCATTGCCAAGGCCATCAGACACTTGTCAGGAACATAAACAGGGCTCCAGTGAGGCAGTTCACAGGTACCTTTCGTGTCTGGCCAAGGTGGCTACTACTCACTTGCAGCTTTCCCTTCTGGCCAGCCCTATGCTGGGCAGAGCTGCTCATCCTTTGCCTGAGCAGAAGCTAGTCCCATACCTCAGCCTGGCACAGGGATTCAGAGTGTCCTTCCAAAACTCAGAATGATGCTTGATTGGGTACTTGTGCTCACCTGAGGCCAGGCTACTTGAACCCACATGGATGACAGCAGGATCTGTCTACTCTGTTTTCTGTGCCTCTGGTGAGGGACCCAGTTGAATGGGGCACATTCTGAGGAGGTGGCCAGGTCAAGCAGGAATCTGAAACTAGGAGCTTGTATGCTTGGGAGTGGCAGATGATTAGAGGTCTGGGACACAGCCTGGGAGGAGAAGCCTAAGAGTGTGTGTAAGCCAGGCCATTCCTATGTTAGGAGGCTGATGTGGGTTGTACTTTACACATGAGGGCTCTCTTTCTATGGCTTCTAGACGCAGACACATCAGCCCCACATTGCTCAGTCCCAGACCGCTCCTGTTTATAAACCTCACTGACTTCCTTCCACGGCCCTGGTAGTAGGCCATCTGACTGATTCACATTTGAGAAAACTGAGTCTCCAGGAAGCCCAATGTCTTGTCTCAGGCAACACAGGAATTCTTGGCCATAGCACTTGGCCAATGGCTGAGAGGTCCCCCTTGACCATAGAAGTCCTTGCTGGGCCTTGGTCAAAACCTGTCCAGTTTTCTGTTTGCTCACATGGCTGAGTTAGTTAGCTGCTGAGTCGGTTTCTACAAAAGTGTCTACTAAGGCCCCAACTTGGGAAGGCCCTTGAGAGACCCCCTGGGTGACCCCCCAGGGAGGATGGGGCTTTGCCTGGGAGACATGGACAAGCCAAATGGGTTGCTCCAGGCGAGTGGGACAGAACCAATTGGCAAGTCCAGACTTACCTTCTAAGCTGGGCATCCTATGGCCACAGGGGGTGATGACCCTACCCCCAGTCCTGGGGCCTGTGTACATGTAGACCTAAAGGCACACTGGTACATATGAACACACTTGTATATACACAGACCACACTGAGAGCTTTTGGTCTCCATGCATATGCACTTCTAAGGGTGGACATTCAGGCACAGTGTGCGAGTGTCACAGTCCTACTTGAATACGTTCTCATGCTCAGACGCACTCACTCACACACACAGCTTTGGATGACAAGCCCTGTCGCCTGGACACGCGGCAGGAACCTTGGGTCTCCCTGGCTGCCTCCCTTGTGAGGTGCTTAGTCACCTGAATTTGATCCAAGCCGGAGGGAGGGATGGATGGAGGGCCTGACGTCAGCCCTCACAGCCACCTCCTGCTGCCGCCAGCGCATCCATCTGGGACCCAGCTTGTCCCAGGCAATCAAAACCGCTCACTTCTACAGAGTTTCCTTCTAGGCAAGCTTGTTCTGAGTCCCTAATGGATGTCAACTCCTTTACACCTCATAGCCACTTGGGGAGCGGGAACTCCGCTTGTGCTTCACTTTCCCCATCTGAGAAAAAGGGGAAAGGGAGCTAAAAGAGGGTGGCTTCTGGCAGGATAGCAACCTTAGGGAAATCATATGCAAATTTTGTGGACCAGAGCAGCCTATCTCATCTCTGGGGCAGGGAAGCAGAGCTCCTAGCCACAGTGTGGCCTGGGGCCTGCTGGAGATCCCTTGCTGAGGCTTTCCCCTTAGTGTAATGGGGCCTGGGCTATAATGATCACTATGGCAACCACCCATTCAACAAAGCCTTTGTCTTGTAGAGCCTGCATTTTGGAGGAAGAGGCTGGGGGGATGGGTAGGGGTCACCTACAGGATGGAGCCTGGTCAGGCATGGAATCTCCTCTCATCCTTGGTCTCCTCCTTCCTGCAAGCGATCTGGTTTCCAAAGCCTCTGGAGCTCCAGTCCCATCACTCCTGCCTCTCTTTACCTCCTCCAGGGAGGCCTCACACCCTCCACCATTTCTCGAGGTCCAGCCTCCACATCTTTTCCTATTGCCAGTCTGGATCTCCTTCCCTCTTCCCTTCTGCATGCCGACATCGGCTTCTACTCATTCAACACACTAATGTCAGGCAGTCAGGCAGAAGAGCTGGACTGTGCCCTTACCCACAGTCTCCCTCCAAGCCTTGCTGAGGAAGGTATGGTATCAGTACAGATGGGGAGACTGAGGCTTAAAATTTGCAAGGAACTTGTATCTATGGCCCTGTAATAGGATGACAGGCAGAATTGGAACCCAGTCCAGACTCCTCCATGTCCAGTACACCCCAGTCAGCCCCACCTCCTTGACCCCCTTATCAAAGCAAGGAGATGGGAACGTGAAGAGTGAAAGAGAAGCATGACACTCATAAGACCCAAAGACTTAAGTTCTCAAAGTCACTGTGGGGGACAGAGGAAGTTACCAACAAACAGGAAATACAGAGGGTCAGGATTCTGCTCACTTCCTTTTCCTGAGAAGATATTGAGTCCAGCACAGGAAGGAGAGGGGCATTGGGCTGAGGTGGGATCTGTATGCATCTTGGGGCAAAGATGAAGTCTGAGTGTGAGAGTCGGGGTTCAACCTGGGGGTAGGGTATGTAGCTTAGATCATGGCAGGAATTAAGGGATAGGGCTGAGGCTGGAGGTTGACTGGGGCTTGAACTGGGGCTTCTGCTTCACCTAGCTTGAGGATCCAGGGATTCTGCAGTAGGTCCAGGGTGAGTATGAGACTGGGCCCAGGGAACATCTTGGCTTGAGCAGATGTGGCACACATTTTTGCCACATGAACCAGCTGGAAGGAAAAATCAGGAGAAATATGGAATGACCTTTTAGTGCAATAAAGTCTCACTTGACAGTTACCCAAGTGGCAGCCTCCTCCCCTGACAGACCTTGTCCTGGACTGGAGGCCCTGCTGGAACAGGGAAGGGAATAACCAGTCTCATTGTATGGTCCTGGAGATGGGAGCGGAAGTGAGAGGCAGGAGTTCTAGGGAAGTTTTCCAGGAAGCAGGGAGAGGGACTAATGGAGGCTGGAACATCAAGGGGGCCTCTTGGAGGAGGTAGCTGGGCCTGCAGCACCAGGGAAGCCTCTGCATCACTAGAGCCCAGCCCAGCTTCCAGGGGCAGGAATGCTCTGCCATCAAGGGGTGGGACTGATGAGTCACTGGACTGCATGCTGGGTGGGGCCCAGCTGCTTTGGACTCTTTCTCAGTGCTGCTGGGCCACTGTTCTTTTACCCGTGTCTGTCTATCCTGACTCCAGAATACCAGGTTCACTGTGCTTCCCTGTGAAGCATGGCAGAAATAACTGTCTATTTGCAGGTGCGGACACTGAGGTCTAGGGAGTGGCATGCAGCCCAGCCAGATGAGGTCCTGGGATTCAGCAAGTAGGAACAGACCTGAGACTGGGCGCTGGCATCCCAGGCAAAGAGAGTAGCCAAGGCAAAGGAATAGAGGTGGGACCTTGCAGGGCTGTGGCTACAGTGGGAGAGAGTCTCGGTCTGGCCTCCTTGCCCATGGCTGGCTTGATATCCAGAAGTGAAGCCTTCTCTACCCTCTGTCAGGTTTCCAACAAGGCGACACAGAGGATCCCCTGGACCGAGGCAATGGAGGGCGGCCCAGCCGTGTGTTGCCAGGACCCACGAGCAGAGCTGGTAGAACGAGTAGCAGCCATCGATGTGACCCACTTGGAAGAGACAGAAGGAGGCCCAGAGCCTGCCAGGAATGGTGTGGACCCTCCGCTTCGGGCCAGAGCTGCCTCTGTGATCCCTGGCAGTGCTTCAAGACCCCCTCAAGTGCGGCCCAGCCTCTCAGCTAGGAAGTTCTCCCTCCAGGAGCGGCCAGCAGGAAGCAGCCTGGAGGCCCATCCTGGGCCTTATGTCACAGGGCCTGCCAGCCACATCTCCCCTCGAGCCTGGCGGAGGCCCACCATCGAGTCCCACCATGTGGCCATCTCAGACACAGAGGTTGGTGGGGCAGAGCTAGGGGCTGTTCACGAGCCCCTACCCCACCCCGTAGGCATCCATGAGGGCCCCTTTCTGCCCTATCTTGTACCACATAGTTAAATGGTCTTAGCTGGCAAACCCTTAGAGTCGGAGAGCTCGTTTCCTAACAGTATGGCCTCTTCTCAACCAGGGAATCTCCATCTGAGCTAAAGGCCGCCTATGAATCTTACCATCCCACCCCTAGGAAATAGGTCCCTCCCTTGTCCCCTAAGAAGTCCTCTTAGAGATTTAAAAATAGATGATGTGTACCTCCACCCCCTAAGTCATCCCCAGCTCACTGCCTCCCTCTGTCCCTAATCCTGCCTCTTAGAGTCTGCTCTGACTCAGAAGCTGCCAGCATGCTTCCAGCCTCTGGGCTCCTGCTGGCCCTGTCCTTGCCACTTTTATCTGAAAGTGAACTTGGGTACTGAGCTGACTGCAGATAGCAGAGGCTGAGCTTTTTGTGCCTGAACCAAGGCTGTCTTCTGTCCCCAAGCACTTCTCCCATATTTCTTGTCTCTGCAATTTAGACCTTTTCTTTTTTTTAAAAAAAAAAAGAGTGAGAGAGGAGAGAGAGAGAATTTTTTTAATATTTATTTTTTAGTTCTCAGTGGACACAACATCTTTGTTGGTATGTGGTGCTGAGGATCGAACCCGGGCAGCACGCATGCCAGGCAAGCATGCTACCGCTTGAGCCACATCCCCAGCCCTAGACCTTTTCATTTAGCTGCTTCTGGAAGTAGTTGCTCCTGGTTTTTTTTTTTTTTTTTTTTTTTTTTTTCCACAGTCTGGGATCTCCCAGACCCAGAGTGGAGAAGGAATTAATGCATTATCCCCTCACTCCGTAGGGAGCAGAGCATAGCCAGGGCTTCACCATCCATGTTTTTAAACGTTATCTGAGGCTTCTCACTTAGGGTGGCTATGAAACCACCAAGCTTCCCCCATTGGAACTGGAAATGTTGGTGAGACCTGAGCATTTGGGAATTAGGACCTTGAGGCAGGGCTGGTCCTGAACAGACTCCTGAAGTAGGAGTGGTCTTGTGTCTGGATCCAGCTATACCTGATGCTTGCATCTTTCCCCCCCAGGACTGTGTGCAACTGAACCAGTACAAGCTGCAGAGTGAGATTGGCAAGGTAGGTCTGAGGGTAGGAGAAGAGCAACAGATACTTCAGGGTCCTCATCTTGTCACTCTTCTTTTTCCTCTGTGGGTGAGAATGGGAAACAGAGCCTGAATGCTCTAGCTTGAATGTGAAGAAAGTTTTTTATCATCTGTGGGAAATTCCCAAGGGGAGGTGGGAGATGACTTCTGATTCCTGGCTCCCCCAGGGTGCATCATGGATGACTAAGAGAGATTGAGGGAGGCATGGAACTGTGCTGAGCCCGGTGGAGCAGCTCCCACAGCACAGAAGTACCTTCCCTGTCTTTCAGAAATGTGTGCTCAAGAGCCAGCTGGTGCTGGGGATGGAGCTGGGATACAGGGGAGGGACCAGAGCTATCAGGCTGGCCATTTCCTCTGCTGGTCCTGGGGGAGGTTGCCCTATCCAAGTAGAGCTGACTAGTTCCTGTCTGCAGGGTGCCTATGGCGTGGTGAGGCTGGCCTACAATGAAAGTGAAGACAGACACTATGTGAGTCTGGGGATAGGAGGGAGGTGTTGGCAAGCTGGCCTAAAAACCTGGAGAATAGGGCAGAAGCTGGGGAGATAGAGGATCAGGCTGCCTGGTAAGGGAGTGAGCTCCTTATCCCTAGGGGTGTGCAATTGGAATTAACTCCCTGACCCTCGGGGTATGCAAACAGAGGCTGGTTTCCTCTGAGGGTTTCCAGAAAGGCTTGTTGAGGGAAGGGGGGGGGGAAGGCCTAGACTCAGATATAGCCACCTTTTTACCCAATCTGACATATACCTGAGCCACATGCTCAGTGCCAGTGGCAGATGCCCAGTGTGCCCTTCTCCCCCTCAGTCCACATGTAACCAGCCTCTTCTAGCTCCTAGTTGCTGAGTGACACATTTCTGTCCCTCTTTCCTCAGGCAATGAAAGTTCTTTCTAAAAAGAAGTTACTGAAACAATATGGCTTTCCACGTATGTATCTATCTGGTCTGGTCCTTGGGAGCTGCTAGCCTGGGGGCAGAGGAGACCATGGTCCCCAGCTAGTTTCATTTAGGAGTGGGGACAGTGTGGTTGAAGGCCTGGGGATGGAATATGCTTGGTGGGTTGGGACAAGATCATAGTCTTGTGAAAGTCTTGCCTTGAGGCTGGTTGCAGAGCCAGGGAGAGGCCCAGCTCCTAGAAGCAGGATTTGATTCCCTTTTCTGGTCATAGGTCGCCCTCCCCCACGAGGGTCCCAGGCTGCCCAGGGAGGGCCAGCTAAGCAGCTTCTGCCCCTGGAGCGGGTGTACCAGGAGATTGCTATCCTGAAAAAGCTGGACCATGTGAATGTAGTCAAGCTGATCGAGGTAGGAGTTGGTAGCCAATGGGGAGACTAGCATGCTCTATCTCCTGTAAGTAGCTTCTGGTGGGTGGAGGAGGTGCTTAGCACAGACCCAGGTCCCACTAAGGGAGCAGGTATGACTGAAGTCTCCAAGGGCAGGCCAGACTTGGGGTGGGGACTCCAGGGAGGCATCAGGGCCCAGCTCTGGCTAGTCAGGGATGTTCTCGTTGAGGGTGAGGGATTGCCCCAGAGGCAAAAAGTGAGCCCCTCATCATCTCAAGGAAGAAGGGCTGGTTGCCATGTGGTGGGCCAGGATGGTGGTGGTCAGTGATGGGTGAGACCCCTCTTATCTGGCACCTGTATAGTTCCTGCTGTATGTCTGAAGTGATTTCAGAGCATACTAGGGGTCCTGGGGCTGGCAAGGTCAAAGAGGACTGAGCTTTCCAAAACCCATACCTCCTCAAGCCCTATCCCCATGTCTGCTCCCTCTAACCAGGTCCTGGATGACCCAGCTGAGGACAATCTCTACTTGGGTGAGTGACCCAGCTCACTGCCACAACAATTCACCTTGGACTAGTTCCAGGGCTCCCTGGGGATGCACATGACTCATGTGAATATACTGACCTCCTGAAGATAGAAGGAAAACACACATTTGTAAGCCCTGGATTCCCCCAAAATATCTCTAAGCCCCCACTCCCTGTTCCCCACTGCTGGCAAGACAGTGGATCCGATTTGGGTTCTGTACTCAGGTTAAGGCAAGAACTGGTTATGTGAGTTCCCAGGCCCTGTCTAGTAGCTCTGTGCCTTAGTTTTCTCACCTATAAAATGGGATAATAGGGGCAGGTGTTTAGCTTAGTGGTAGACCACTTGCCTAGCATGTGTGAGACTTGTGTTCAATCCCCAGCACCATACCCACAAAAAATAATAATAATTTTTCAAAGATGAGATAGTGGTGGCGTTTACTTCATAGAGTTGACGTCAAAAGGCGATGAGCTACTATATGCAGAACATACTAATATCCTTAATATTATTATTATTAATGTTAATGTATTAATACCAATGTTATTATTTAAGTTCCTCGTGCCTGCTTTAGGACTGGTCTTAGGGGAGTTCTCAAAAAAATGGGGCATGGACTGGGGTTGTGGTTCAGTGGTAGAGTGGTTGTACCTTGCATACATGAGGCCCTGGGTTCGATCCTCAGCATCACATAAAAATAAATAAATAAAAATGAAGATATTTTGTCCATCTACAACTAAAAAAATATATTTTTTTTAAAAAAAATGAGGCAGAGGACCAGTTCAGGAATTAGAGGTCAAGACTTGAGTCTGCCATCTACATCCTGCCTGTCTGCTTGGACCATTAGGAATATTTCTGCCACATTTCTGAGCCTCAGTTTCTCCTTCTAAAAGGGGTTCATTTGGGGCTGGGGTTGTGGCTCAGGGGTAGAGCGCTCGCCTAGCACGTGCAAGGCACTGGGTTCAATCCTCAGCACCACATAAAAATAAATAAATACATAAAAGGGTTCATTCTGTGGTCCTCACCTGGCATTAAGGATCAGATAAGGCAGTTCCACAGCAGACTCTACTCTCATCCATTTACTTCCTCTGACATCCTGAGACCATGTCCCTTGAGTACACCTGCATGCCTGCCCCACCTCCTACCCTCTGAACAGGGAGGGACTTTGGCATTGCCTGCTTTGCCAGCGCGGTACATCTCACCTTCTTTTCTTTTCTTTCAGTGTTTGACCTCCTGAGAAAGGGGTGAGTTCCCCATCCTGAGCAGGCAGGTCAATTCTAATCCCTTTCTCTCCTTGCATCCCTCAGACCAAGGGTTAGCCACTAGAAGAGAAATCAGAGACCTAGGCCCTGTCTTCAGGAGCTCTGTTCAGAGAAGTAAATAAGAGATCAGAAGGACCATTCTCAGAAGGCTGGTGGGGGTCACTGAGGCTGGAATAGTAACTGGGTTTCGAACCAGGCCTCAAAAAACGGAAAACAGATTTGGATGGAAGAGAGGGAGAAGAAAGGAGTGATTTTCAGGCAAAAGCTTACTAGTAGGACTCACTGCAACCTGCATTCAGATCACAAAGGGTTCTTTTAGCTTTATGACAAGCTTGGGAACTGAGCCGGTAGGGCTCTATTCCCTTCCATCAATGAGAGGGAAAGCTGAGGGTCAGAGGGTAAATGGCTTGCCCAGGGTCACACAGCAAGTCACTGGTGGAGCATAGGGTTCTAACACATGTCTGCCCTGTGTGACTTCTGGGGTATTTGTAGAATAGCTGACATGGAGTGGTGGGCATGGGGCTGAGTGGACAGGGACCCTTCACTGCCAAGACCTTGAACGTAGCTGTGGCTTGTGTCTCTGTCTGGGTTCCAGTTTGGGGAGGGGGTCATGGAGTGGTGTTCCTTTCAGATTCAGGGGCTTTCAAACATTTGTATATCGATTCAAACAAAAAATATACGTTTATATTATTATCCATATCTGTAACTGAAACCAAAGTTTTACAGAACAGTAAATATCTTCATTACATGGGGTACATTCTACTTTGTTAGGGGGGAAAAAAAACTGTCACGGCTAAATTGACTTCATCACTCTCCATTGGATCTGGATCCAGAAAGACACTGCTTTAAATGGCATCTCTACAGTTCTTTGATTGTAGATAAGTAAGTGCTTCTAAGAAGAAATACAAGCCAATGGAAATTAAGATAAAACTGATTTGAAATTGCAATTGAAAAGGGATATTTGTGTCTGTGTGTTTTTGAATTTTCATATGCTGGAGGAGAAGGTCATATCTTGGTTCCTAGGGACCTGTGCTCCCAGAGGGCCCCCTGAAGGTCGTTAGGGGCCTGAATGGCCAACCCATGTTTTCCTTCCCCTGCCGCAGTTTTTACTCATCCTGATACCGGCTGAACACCCCTCCCTTCTCCTTCCCCACAGGCCGGTCATGGAAGTGCCCTGCGACAAACCCTTTCCGGAGGAGCAAGCTCGCCTCTATCTGCGGGACATCATCCTGGGCCTCGAGTACTGTGAGCGAGGGGCTGCCTGTCGCTGGAACTGGGGCTAGGGGATGCAGAAGGGTACCGAGGGTAGGCTAAGCGGGACCTGAGCCATTCCTGTCCATCAGCACTGATCTGCCAATCAGCTTTAGTGGAGGCGGGGCATCGCTCTATGGGCGGGGCCGGGGCCGTTTTTCACTGAGCATGTGCAGGTCTTTAGCTGCGGCTGGTCTACACCCCTTATGTGTGCGCTGTGGGGTCTTCCGCTGTCTCTATCTTTCCTCTGCTTAGCCTCTCCACGGGGCCTCAATAGATACAAGGTGGAAGGGATCCATGTCCAGCAGCTTGGGGAAGAGTGTGTCCTAGTATGGGGCTGGTGGGTGGTGGCAGGGTAGATTCAACTTGTGAGGGGCCCTGAGGTGGTGAGAACTCAGGAGGGAAGATGTTAATTTAGGCTGTTTGCCTGGAATTCATTTACTCATTTGCTCATACATTTCACTTACTCACTTCTTTCATTTATGACTACCTATGAAGTGCCAGCTGAGGACACAGAGAGGACAAAGATCCAGATCTGATTCCAAGGACCTCACAGCCCCGGAAGGGCAGGGACCTAAGCAGGCAGACAATATAGGTGATGCCTGGCAACGCCAGGCAGAGGCAGGAGGGAGTGGGTCTGTGCTGTTGAAGAATGGGGCAAGTTCAATCTGGTTGAAACATCCAGTGGACAGAGGAGGTTGGTTAGTGAACAGTAATTCTGGAAGCAATGTCCAGGCCACACCAAGAGGGCTGGGAGTGCCTGGAGGAGGACTTTCCTGACTTCATTCAGACAGCATGCTGAGGCCCCCAGGGCTCTTAGCAGGGGAGGGGTGTGATGAGATTTGTGAAAGCTCTGTCTGGCAGCTGTGTGGTGGCTGGATTTGAGGGTGAGACACGGCCAGCTGGGCAGGGAGGAGGCTGTTTCTACAGCTCAAGTGACAGATGGTGAGACTTAGATTAGGTCAGTAGCAGTGGGGAGGGATGTGAAGGGGGTAGGGTATGGCTGGTAAGGGGTGGCTGACTGGTCTAATGAGGGGAGGGCCCCCAGGCCTAGGGTTCTTGCCCGAGTTGGGGGCCAAGGGTGCTGCCTATCTCTTAAAATCTTAGCTTGGTTTGTTTGGAGCATATTGTCCCTGGGGGAACAGGGTATGAACCTAGCTGAGGTGTGACTTGCAGTGACAGGAACAGGACTGCCTTTACTCTGCTTGAACCTCCACTGCCCTCAGTCTGTGTACTTGTGGGGAAACTGAGGCTCACAGAGGGGCAGTCTTTGCACATAGTCCTAGCAAGGACCTACAGGCATAGTATGGTCAGTGGAGGACACAACTCTGCCTGGCCTTGGCTCCGCCCCCTTTCCAGTTTTCAGCCTTTCTCACCAACTGAGGGGCTGTTGTCTGCCATCCCTGTTCTCCTAAAAGCAAACTGATCTCATCGATTTCTTGGTGAAAGCCTGGTCAGGACCCTCTGATTGGAGTGAAGTAGGGTGGTTAGTGCTAGGGCTGGCAGGTAGATGAACGGAGGCACTGGGAGGGCTGAAGACTTGCCATGTGATTCTGACCTCAAGAAAAGAGTCCAGCCAGGGACAGTGGTGCATACCTGTAATCCCAGCAGTTTAGGAGGCTGAGGCAGGAGTAGTGAGAGTTCAAAGCCAGCCTCAGCAATTTAGTGAGGCAATAAGCAACTCAGTGAGACCCTGTCTCCAAATAAAATACAAAAAAAGGATTGGGAATCTGGCTCAATGGTTAAATCTCTAATACCAAAAAAAAAAAAAAAAAAAAGAAAGAAAGAAAGAAAAGAGAGTCGAGGCTGCCCTGAGAGCACTCTGGGGTCAGAGAGGCTTAGGCTTGATTCTCAGTAAGTGGGACAAGTATAGCAATATAGGTAATGAGATGCTGTCACATGGGGAATACATTTTGAACTTGAGCTCACAGGGATAGCTGATGTGAGGTCTGAGAGAAGGGAGTTAAAGATGGTCCCGTGATTTTTGGCAACAGTAATATGGCTTTAATGGAATGGGAAACACAGGAAAGGGATTGGGGTTTTATGTTTTGTTTGGTGTTGGTGGTAGTGTGGTTTGCAGGGAGAAATCAAGTTCTGAATTAGTGCAGTATATTGACATACATAATGAGCTGTCATGTCTCATTGGAATTGAGGGCAAGAGCTTGGAATTGAGGGCAAGGCTAGTGTTTGAGATAAGACTTTGAGACTACTTTCCATGGTCAAATATCCAGATCCCTGAGCTTCTGTGCTCTCATGGATGTGGGCCGGATTTTTGTGTGCCAGCACACAGTAGGTTATTGATTTGGTGCCAGCACACAGTAGGTTATTGATTTGGTGCCAGCACACAGTAGGCTATTGATTTGCTGGTTATTGGAGTACGGCACTCCCTCCCTCTGCCCCCAACCTTCTCCTCTTCCTGTCCCTTCCTCTTCCTTCCCTCCTTATCTTCACCCTTCTCCAACATCCTGGGCACTCTTGGTCCAATTGGCCACAAGTTGATGGTGATAGGGTGGGGTCAGAACCTCTTCTTTCCCTCTGGTCATCTCACATTGAGCCACCCATCCCTTCCTAGCAGTGATGGACAGGAGGCAGGGCAGGCTGCCTGCCTCTTAGGCCATTTCTGATTCTGGCTTCATCCTTCATCTGGCTTCATTCTGGCTTCACCCTCATCTGAGCCATATTCATCCTGATAATCCCAAGGCCTGGGGTTCCTTTCCTCTGTGAAACTTCATCATTCCAGATCCCATGAGCTGAAACCGTATATCTATAGGACATTACAGTCCCTCAAATCCAACCCTTAATCCTAGGAGTAGGGACATCTTTGACAGGGCTGGGTTGGGGATGGAACTGGGGAAGGGTTTGCATGGGCTTTGGGTTTGTAGACAGTACTCAGTGGGAGGGGTACAGACAGCCTATGGAGAAGTTCCTGTACCCAGTTTTCTCTGACCTCCTCTCCTCAGCAGTAGATGCCTTATTGGTCATGGGAAGAGCACTGGACTTGGAGTCCAAAGATTCCTAAGAGTCCTGTCCTGGCTCTGCTAATATCCTGGGCTGAGCCTGAGCATCTTCACCTGCATAGTAAAGTGGATGGTCCTCACATGACAAGAGTGTGGGGTTCCACACTGGGATATGCCAGTTGGCCTCCCTGGCTGGGCAGGGCTGGTGAGGCTTCCTGGGCAGGGATCTCCCAGACAAGCACTCAGCTGCTTCTCTTTGCAGTGCACTACCAGAAGATCGTCCACAGGGATATCAAGCCATCCAACCTGCTCCTGGGAGATGATGGGCATGTGAAGATTGCCGACTTTGGTGTCAGCAACCAGTTTGAGGGGAATGACGCTCAACTGTCCAGCACGGCGGGGACCCCAGCATTCATGGCCCCTGAAGCCATTTCTGATTCTGGCCAGAGTTTCAGTGGGAAGGTGATTCCCAGGGTCTGGGCCAGGTGGCGATTCAGGTAGAGGAGCAGAACAGCTTGCAGCAGAGCTTGAGGGTGCCAGGGTTCTTGCATTTACAGAGTAATATCCTTGTCTCTTCCTTAGATCCTGACATGTCCCCCAACCTTGACTTCCTCTCATTTTCCAGTAGAATGGTTCCATACCTCCCTTGCAGATATTTACTGCCACTTGCTCTGTACTGGGTTCTGGAATGGGCTGTGGAACAGGCAGAGTCAAAACAGCCCTGCTTCCCAACTTCTGCATGTTGAAAAGGTCAGAAGAACTCAAAAACAGGGGGAAGGTGGAGGCCACGTCAAATCTTGGCATTGCAGGGACTGAACCGGCCCTCAAAGAACAGGGGGATTTGAGCAAGAGGTGGAGCCCAGAGAATGTACCAGAGGTCTGAGAGGCATGGGGGTAGGGGCAGGTTTTAGAATACCTTGTCATTTGGGCCACCTGAGAGAGGTGGTAAGAAAGCTTTCTAAGGGGTTGCTGCAGCCATTGTGAACCCCTGGGCACTGACCTACTGCAGCTGCCAAAGAGGGGAGGGCTGAGAAAGTTTGGACATGGGTAGAGGCTTCTTGGACCTCAGAGGTCAGGAATGTAGCATTCCTTTTTTTTTTTTTCTTTTTCCTTGGGGAGGAACAAGATATAGCTCAGTGGTAGCATGTGTGATATCCTAGGTCTGATCAAAAGAACCCAAAACAGCTGGGCATGGTAGTGCATGCCTGTAATCCCAGCAGCTTGGGAGGCTGAGGCAGAAGGATCTTGAGTTCAAAGCTAGCCTCAGCAATTTAGTGAGGCCCTGAGCAACTTAGTGAGACCCTGTCTCAAAATAAAAAAGGGCTGGGGATGTGACTCAGTGGTTGAGCACCAGTACAAAATCAAAACAAAACAAAAAACCAAACTAAAAAAAGAAAAGAAAAACAACCGAGCCAAAGCCTTTTATTCTGGTATAATTTTAAATTTATAGAAAGTTTGGACACTGGTGGGGGATATTTTTAGTGGATATTTCCTAAGAGCAAGAACATTAAAGATTCTCAATGCAATTACCAAAATCAGAAAATTTACCACTGATAAAACTTATATAATTTGTAATATAAATTTCAATTATTATAGTTTATGTTTTGTCAGTTTTCTCCATGTTGAACTTTGGAACTGTTTCTGGTTCCAGATACAATCCAGGGTCATTGGCCTCACTCACTTGTCTTGTCTGTTTCACATCCTCTGGTCTGGAAGTCTTTGCTGGCTCCCTGGCTTTTCCTTGTCATTCCTGACCTTGACTTTTGTATGTGTGTATATGAGGCTGGGGATTGAACCAGGGCTTTGCATATGCTAGGCAACTGCTCTGTCACTGAGCTACATCTTCAGCTTTCTGACCTTGGCATTTTTGAAGAGAACAAATCTGTTGTTTTGTAAAATTATAAAATGTTTTGGTTTGCATTTGTCTCATGTTCTCTGAATGGATTCCAGTGAGTCATCTGTGGCAGGGATATGGAGGTAGAGATTTGAGAGCCACTCCTATAAGAGGGAAGGTGGAGTCTGAAGAGGGAAATGAAGAGAGAGCACACAGGAGGATCCAGGGCAGGGGAAGCCCAGTGAATGCTTGGGAGGAGTGGTAGCAGTGCACAGGATGGACAGGGCTTTGCTGTGGCAGGGGGTGCATCTGGTGTCAGGAAGGGAAGTGGATGATGGCTTTTCCACTGGATTAGCAGGATATAGAATGACCCCTTGAAGGCAAAGGTAGGTTTTTTTTTTTTTGGTACTAGAGATTGAACCCGGGGGCACTCAACCACTGAGCCACATCTGCAGCCCTTTTTAGTATTTTACTTAGAAACGCCGTCTCACTGAGCTGCTTAGTGCTTCACCATTGCTGAGGCTGACTTTGAACTTGTGACCCTCCTGAGCTACTGGGATTACTGGTGTGTGCCACTGTGCCCGGCGCCAGAGCTGGTTTAATGAGTATAAATTCAACACAGTCTGTTATTTCTGGATACATCTATGTCATAGGGGCTGCAAATGTGATCTGATCCTATGGGTGAAAGAAGCTGTGCACCTGCTGAATTAGAAATACATCTGGTTTGGGCCTGTCCCAAAGAAACTTGGAACATCTGAGTGGCAGCAGCTCTGTTCTGGTCTCCCCTGGGTCCCCTGTGCTCAGTACAGGGCCCAGCATGGAATAAGCATTTGCAGTGTCTGTTCAGTGATTACATGGTGGCGGGAGGAGAGTCCCCACAGGCCCTTTCTATAGCCCAGTGGAGTTGGGTGTGCGGTGGGCAGTGGTACCTATTGGGGTGCTGATGTGAGCATGTTTCTTTCTAGGCCTTGGACGTGTGGGCCACTGGGGTCACACTGTACTGCTTTGTGTATGGGAAGGTGAGTGCTGGGGAGGTTGGCACTGTGGGCTGGGTCTAGGGAGCCAAACTTAGGAACAGATACTGTCCTTCTTTTGTGTCCTTAAGTTTTGATTTTTAAAAAATATTTATTTATTTATGTATCTTTTAGTTTTAGGTGGATACATTAGTTTGTTTTTATGTGGTGCTGAGGATCAAACCCAGTGCCTCATGCATGCTAGGCGAGCAGTCTACCCCTGAGCCACCACCCCAGCCCCTTGAGTTTTGATTTTGAAAGAGCCCACTTGGTTCGGGGAGGGTTGAGGGGGAGGGGTTTTTTTTTCTATTTTCCTCTCTTTCCCTTGAGAGGGATCAACGTGAAGGATCCTGGATAGCAGATGTCTGAGGGAGGTGTCAGTGGTGCTGTTGCCACCTTTCTAGCCAGAGTGTTCCCTGTCCCTCTGTCCCTTGACGCCAATCATTATTCATCCATGCATTCACTCAATCGTTTATTCATTCAGTAAATTGCCCTTCACTTCTGTTCTGGATCATACTGGGCCTTGAGGACACCCACCACTCACGTGACTTAGATCCCTGCCCACAAGTGCTTCTACTCAGGGGAGCACTGAGGGGCAGAAGGGAATCTCAGTGAACACATTTCCAAACATCAGGTCCTGGGAGTGGAGATGTTGCTGCAGGTGGTAGTGACCCAGCAGGTACACCCAGCCTTATAGCTCCCTCAGTGACTTGGTTGTTCAGTCTCATTTGTTGAGCCTTTGCTGTGTGCCAGGCCCTAAGCAAGTTAGATGGCATCTTTCCCATGTGTTGGGGATGCTGAGCTGTCCCTGGCCCTGCCAAGGGCTATGGGCTGGTCCCTGGCATGGCTCAAGGCCCTGTGCCTGCATCCTGTGTCTGCCTCTCCCCCACACAGTGCCCGTTCATCGACGATTACATCCTGGCCCTGCACAGGAAGATCAAGAATGAGGCCGTGGTGTTTCCCAAGGAGTGAGTTGTCTACCCAGGGGACCATGGGGGTCCCACTCACTCCTGAGAAGGGGTGTCTGAGCTTTAGCAGAGCTTTTTGCCGTTTGAGGGCCCCAACCCAGCCTGCAGATCTGGAGGTGGGGGTGCTGTTCCCTGGGAGGGGCCCTGAGCAGATGGAGGGGTGGGACCATGGAACTGACAGTGTCTGAGACATCAGGGTCAGATGGCATTGTGTAGAGGGACCATCCAGGCCCAGAGTTGGGCATGGATGACCCCCAGTCATACATTCACACCACTTCTTCACTATTAGGTCAGCGGTACCCACCTCACACCTGGGTCTGTGGACCCGTGGGGAAATCCCACATGGGATGGGCAATGGGGGTGTTCAAGATGCTTCCCAGTTCCCAGATGGAAAAGTGGAGTCACCTGAGGAGAATTACTAGTAGGGGTGGGGCTTAAAGCTCTTCTTTCCTCTCTACTCCTCTCAGACAGTTCTCCTGGGATCAGAGACCCCAGGGGCACCCAACCACTGAGCCACAGGAGGTCTTTGATCCCAGGAGAACTGTCTGAGAGGCCTCCCTGCTCCTCCCTGGGGCTTCTGGTTAAGGCTTATCTGCTGTGGCAGTGGCCTGAGTTCTTGGTGCCTCAGTTTTCAGGTCCTTCTATCATCTGCTCAGTTGACTGGGGTGGTACAGAACCTGAAATAGGAAATATCCATAATTTCCAACTCTCTGGCACCCATTTCTTGTATTGTCCCCAACCCCTGTTGTGTCCACCTCTTGCCTATCTTTGGGTCCCCATTGTACCTGCACCCCCTGCCTAGTTCAGACCTCTGCCCCTCTCTCCAGACTTGTCCAGCTCTCTGCTCTCTGTCCTCTCTCCAGTCCAGCCTATATGATCAGGCCAGGTCTACTCTGATAAAAACACAACAGATCTGACCATATCTCCTGCTTAAAGTTTGCCCAAGTCTTCCCAAAGCCTGCAGGACAGAGGCCATGACCTGGCCATGGCGTTGAAGGGCCTCTAGTTTCTAGGTGCTCATTGGCTGCCGTATCACTCTTTCCCGCTAAGCACTAGCCAACTGGATTCAGTGTTTCCTCTTTATTCTATTAATTTCCTGGCTCTTCACCTCTCCCCGCTATATCCCCTACCAGGAATATTCTGTAGACTAGGAATTTTTAAAGAGATTAAGCATCTAAGACAGCAGAAGGAACCCATCCTAATCCCAAGAGTGGGTTCTTCCTCCCCAGTATTGGAAGGATGGGCGCACCAAGAACATCGCTAGCAAAGAAGCCTGGCATTCAGGTCGAGAAGGTCCAGGCTGTCTTGAGGCTGAGAATGCCATACCCCTCCCCCAGTCTCCCATCCATGTCCTCACTTCTCAGTGGTGACATACCCACCTCCTGACCTCCCTGGGCCTCAGTTTCCCCCCTCTGTCAAATGAGAGAGGATCTTTCCTGGCCACCCAGCAGGTAGAGGAAGGATAAGATGGCGAGTGGGAGTGAAGACCCTGGTGTCCCTAAAGTAGCTCTTTTTGTACTATCCTCATTGTCTTTGCCAGCCAGAGGGTGTATGTAGTCCCCTGGGAGCTCTGTTTGTGGTCTCTGCTCCAGAGGAAGACTGCTTCACTTTCTGTTTAGGAAAGGAGATCCACATACTTGTTCTGAAACTCTCCCTTCTGGCCTGGTACCTTGGGGGGGCCCTCCTGCTCTTCCCATCTGTGGGTTGGGTGTGTTTTTGATCCCAGGGCAGGGAGACAGAGGAGAGCGGGAAGGGGTCCTCATCAACAGTCTCTCACCCTCATCTCCTTCCTTCCACTGCTTTAGGCCAGAGGTCAGCGAGGAGCTCAAGGACCTAATTCTGAAGATGCTAGATAAGAATCCCGAAACAAGAATTGGGGTTCCAGACATCAAGGTGGGGGAACAAGAGGTCTTTGGGCAGGGCTGGGTTATAGAAAACAGGTCTCTATTTTCCCTTCTGGAGAGACCCACACCAGGATATAGGTATATTGGGCTTGAGTTTCAGGATTTGTGGGCTGTGGACCCCTTGTAGGACATTACTGTGGGATGCCTAGAATCGTTTGCTGATCCGGTGTCTGTCTGCCTGTGGTCCTAATCTTTCCCTCCTTTCTGGCTTCCTCAGTTGCACCCCTGGGTGACCAAGAACGGGAAGGAACCTCTTCCCTCAGAGGAGGAGCACTGCAGTATGGTGGAGGTGACTGAGGAGGAGGTGAAAAACTCAGTGAAGCTCATCCCTAGCTGGACCACAGTGGTAAGAGGGTGAGGGGCTGAAGGCTTCCTTGTCCTGCGAGAGCCTGAAGAGGGCATGCCTGTTGCCTGAGACTTACTCTGTGCTTGGCTTTGCGGGGAGAACAGAGGGCTGCCTGGTCAGCCAGCCACAGTGCGGGGCCACAGAGGTCACTTTTCTGCTGGGGGCCCATGCAGAAAGAGGTCCTTTTATTCAGGCAGGGAGATAAGGAGGCTTGGTGACGAGAGTGAATGACAAAGAAATACGCAGGCCTTGCTGATAGATGCATTCACTGTGACTGGAGGAGGCCTTTCCTTGGTTCCAAACGTTCCTCAAGTTGCCCCGGCGTGTCTGGGCACCTGGGGGCTATGTTCCTCACACTGATCTGTGCTCCCCAGATTCTGGTTAAGTCTATGCTGAGGAAACGATCCTTTGGGAACCCCTTTGAGCCCCAAGCACGCAGAGAAGAGCGCTCCATGTCTGCTCCGGGAAACTTACTGATGTAAGTACTGGTGGGCTGAGGCCTTTTGGGTTGTTCTTTAGGTTGGGTTGGTTGGAATTAGGGCCCTTTTCCCCCTTTGCCTTTTAGTGGGACTGTGCAGGTGTCACAGAACCTAGGGACACAGCCAGGTTTCAGAATAGACCCCATATGCACCTCAGTTCTCCAAACTATTGGGCCAGTCTTACTGCAGTCTGGGCCCAGTATCCCTCGCTTACACTGCCAGGAATGATATCTCCCTTGGTCCCTCCATGGGGCATGAAGACCCTTCCCTGTGATGGAAGCTTGATGTTATCGAATGCTTTGCCACTTGGGTGCACCTCAGCCCTCTGGCTTCAAATCTGCAGCTCCCTCAGCCCTTGGCATTCTAGAGGTTTGCAGACAATCCTTTGTCCATTTTCCCTTTGTAGAGACTGAGCTATCCATAGAGGTATGGGCACTTCTGCCCACTTTCCCTGGCCCAGGGTGGGTGTTAGCTGCTTTCCTGAGTGGCCTGTGCCACCTGCAGCTGGAGCTTTGTGAGTGCTCACCTAGCTGGTCAGTGTGGGCAGGCCAGCTGACAGGGCCAGGAGAGAGGAACCACCACTTGCTGAGGGCTCCCTAGTATGAAGTATACTTATGGGTTCACTACCTCCTAGGAGAGGCCAGAAAAAGTTTCTCAAACCTCTGTGATTTTGTCCTCAGTTTTTCCACTGTAATCAAAGTCAGCTTGGGATGTCACTAGGGCCTGCTGGAGTTTGTGCCCAGATCTGCAGAGAACACCAGGAAGGATCCTGGGCTAGAATGCGGTTCTGGGTGTTGACCACTTCCTCTGGTCTGTGATAGGGGCTGCGGGGCTGACAGGTGCCTTCTGACCTGCTTTGGGCTGAAGGCACGCTCTCCAGAGAGTGAGTGTGGGGTGTTGTCCAGGTGCTCTGGCTTTCAAGAAGGAGCACTTTGACTTGTGTCCTTCCAAAGATGTGCCCACAAAATGAGGGGTGGAGTCTGAGAGACGCCTGAAATCCAAGCTGTGGTTTTCTCATCTTTTCAATGAGGCTGTTGGTTTATGGGAGGGGTTTCTGTGCTCATTAGGTCTCAGGGCCCAGATGCTGGCACTGAGCTTAGTGTAGGCGGAATTGTATGGAACTTAACATTCTACACAGAGCCACTTCTGAGAGTGGAAGAAGAGGCATAGTTATGCCAGGACAACAGGCGGACTCAGCACTACACCCCGCACACCTGGCATTTGTTCACTCCAGTTCAGTGCTTGTGGCCTAGTGCCCCCTAGTGGTGGGACAAGCCCACCACAGGTTCAGAGCCCACGGGGCACCCAGGACACATTTGTGCCCTGCAAACTGATTTGCAAAGACTGGGCTCAGTACTTTCCAACCATAAAATTCTACAATTCTGTGAACCCAGTTTAATGTTTCTTGTAGAACCCAAGGATGTTCTACCACTGAACTATATTCTCATCCTTCTTTTATTTTTGAGATAGGGTCTTGTTGAGTTCTGAGGCTAGCCTTGAACTTTTGATCCTCCTGCTTTAGCCTCTC